TAGGAGTCACAAGAAAAGAGGGACATTGTAAAAGTGAAAATGGTCTTGTATTAGGAGAGGATTCAACAGCAAAGGTTTTAAAATGTGCATTTTAATTACAACTCACTCAAAGCACAACAGATCAAAACTGTGATAATGAGAGAGGACTAATTAATTTGTGTCTATGTAACGCCATCTCATTATAAACCAATCTTTGGAATGTTAAAAATACGATGGTTATAATGTGGATCAATACAACTGGGAGCCTGAGAGCAAGACCTGAAGGTTTTACAAGACTGTGGCAAATACTGTATTCATCATGTAGCACTCCTACTGCTATGAGACAGCCCATTTATAGCTGCTTTGGGGTAGCAATCCATAGACAAAGATATTAAACCACAAACCAAAGGTCATATGATAAAACAAATATAATTATAATTAAACGCAGATTAATTAAATTACAGTTTCCAGAGAGGGCTTGGATCAATGGGTAGAACAGGAGCAGAGGCTCAGAGATTTGGAGCACTTCGAAAAAACTATATCTCAGTTTCAGGGGAACTGCCTCTGTACTCCCCTCCTCCATGGTCCACTCCAGGAGTGCCCAATCAGGTCTCTGGTCTCCAGCCATCACCTGTCTCTGGGCAGGGACACTTGTCCCATGTCCTTCTGACTGGGGGGTTTTAAGCATGCACAGCTCCCTGCCAGCCACTGTGATATCCCCAGCCAGTCTGTGCGTGGCACTTTCTCCCCAAGCGCTATGAACAGGCTACTGCCAGCAGTATCTGTTACCATGGAGCTGTGATAACTCCCCTCCCCATCCCCTGGAGTGGCAAACAATCCCTGAACCCACAGTGATATATAAACTTCGTACAATATGGGCTCCAAAACTATTGCATGTGGTTACAATATCTGTCACGTTGAGGAACTACCTTATTTTTTTCAGTTGCATCCCTGAATTGAAGTGGTACGACAGGAATTGAAACGCTGGCGGTTAACATACTGAGGGAGCCAGAGAAAAAGGAAAATTGGTAGTAAATTAGTAATAGGTTTGTTGTTTGTCAATAAGCATATACTCAAGATGTAAATAATCAAGTCATTTGAACGCATGACCAGATATACCACAACATAGAGCAGCAAATATATCACTCCATTGGCTCCTCCTCTATTTTAGAACAGAAATCAAAGTCCTGGTCCCTATGTACAAAGCCCTTAATGGAATGAGACCTGGCTGCCTCATCTTCCACAGGAAGAGAGAAAAAAACCAAGGTTTAGGTTGACAGGCTCTGAGCAGCAGAGTATTCTAAGCACCCACAATCCAGCAATGAAACTCAGTTGGAAGATCTCAGACTCCAGCAAGCCTGAGTTCAGATCAAAATGTGGGATACAACTTTTCCCCAGGAATAATGTTAAATAAAAAGCTCATCACGTAATACCTGTGCCTTGAAACCTGGAAGGCAGAGAACAGTCCATGTTTTGGGGGATTTTTATTCTTCACAATTTTGTTTGACTCTTCAACACCAAGGTGAAAGGCACCTTAAAATACCATTGATGGGCACATTTCATGCTATCTTGTTAAGACCTGTCTCACAAAGATGGATGATTTTCATAGGATCACTTCAGCTGATCTCTTTTGAACCATCTAGTCTATCTCCCCCTCACTGCCACCCTCCTCCATCTCATGACAAGATTGATTTAATTTTAATCAATGGACAAATAGGATCCATGTTTTTCAGGACAAATGAACTGTATCCTGTAAATTACTTTTTTACTCAACCTTTTTAACTCTGGGGTTTTGGGAATATAGTATTTACTATACTGGGTCAGACCATAGGTCCATCAATCCTGGTATCATGCCCCAGGCAATGGCCAATAACTAATCCTTCAGATGAAACCCCCCCATTAAGGAGGAAGTTTAGGTAGTTTAAATGAAGACTATCTGTCCTTATCAGAGGTTCCTTTTAGTACTTCACTTATTTAGAATTTAGGAACCAACTAATTCCATTCTCCAAGGTTCCCTAATAATCAGGAATCAGAACCAAACCAGAAACCATCCGTTTCCTAGGAGAGTCATTAATTGTGGGAGGAAAAAAAAGTGGATATGTTTGGTTGAGCAAAGGCAGCCATAGTGGATCAGTTTGATGTTACCCTCTTTCACTTTTGTGGCTCCCTTGATTTGAGGAGAAAATAAATTCATCAGGAGACAAATGTTATTTCATGATTTTTAATAATTTTGTGCTATGGTTTGACCAGAGCATATTAAGAACAAGCATAAAATCTGTATTTAAAACTAACAACAGCACTTAGAGCAACATCTTTCTTTAAAAGTATTGCAATAACAGACCTTAGGTCTAAAAACTAGGACATCACCATTTGCTCAATTAAAAGAGGCAGATACACAACAGATTAAATCTTCTTCTCCTGTATATAAACTGGGAGTTATGTTGGAAAATAAGCAACAGGTTGATTGGGTTAAAGGAAAATAAAAAAGTCTTTAAAGCAAGCCAGGTTTGTCACAGCTTCACATAAACAGCTACCGAGAAGTTCCAATACAGTTGTAAAAAGACTTTTTCTTTTAATAGACCTGTTTTTACAACAATAAAATTTAAATGAAGGATTAAATATTGTGGATAGTGCTGTACATATTTCGGAATAACTTGAAACAAAATGGACAAAAAGCCAGACAGATGTGTTGAAAATGTGATCCTGAAAGCCACAAAATCATACAGCAATAAAGCATATTAGGCTGTAAAATAATAACTAGCAATAAACAACAAAAATGGTCAAAGCTCTGAAAACAGGCATTAATCTGATGATAAATTCTAGGTATAATAGCTTGATCAATGTACACACCATCATGAAACACTCTGACACAGAGGCACTAGACAGTTGAGAGCCACAAAAGACAAATTTCTTGGCAATGCTTAGCATTGTACTGCGAGTAAAGAAATGGTTGTTTTGTTAAAGGATATTAAGCTGAATGAGTTTTGTGTTTTATTTTTGCTGTCCAGCAGTAAGATGCCTTGGGCTCTCATAACTTCGGATCATAGTTCTTTTTAAATCATGGATGCCTGCTGTGCGTTGTAGTAAATGGGAAGTGTGAACACAGAGCTATGGTTACACTTCATAGACTTTCTAATCTTTTCACTGCAGCTTCAAAGGAGATTAGTTGCTTTTAAAAGAGACATCATCTTGTTTGGTCCACTCAGTATGCAAGGTTTGCTATTGTAAATCATACTCTAGACTCCCCCTGCACAAGATTTACTTTGTAAATGTTCTTCGTAGTCAAGGTTTTTTCCCAGACACAGACGTTCTACTGCAGTGCAAATAGAAATGTGGAAATGGCCAGCAAGACCTATTTGCAAAACTTTGTGCCTGATAAACAATGAACAAGTTAACAAACGACAATCATAAAGTATGCAGATTCAGATATGTTACCTGCTCACTGGATAGCACAGCACAATATATAGGAAGGGATGAACAGAGCTACTTGCAAGGGCATGAGGAGGAACTGGCCACAATCTACACAGTTCTTTAAAGCAAAACAAAACAACCATGATCACTAGTCAGGTACAGGACTGCTGTGATGGTTTCTTTAAAAGAGATTTAGAGACAAATGGATAGCTGAAGTTTCAGGTCAACAGAGAGAGAAGCCACGATAGGCCAATAAAAGGACAAAGTAAATTCTTGAGTGCTATGGACCTGATCCAAAGCCCACTGAACTCACTGGGAGTCTTACCATTGTCTTCAGCTGGCTTTAGATGAGGCCCCCTGAGTTTTAGAGTAGCATTTAGCTAGATATCTGAAAACCAACAAAAACGCCACCTCAAACATATTCCAACACATTACTATGTTATGCTTGTGGTTAAAGCCTGACAAGTATAAAAAAGTAGCCATTCGTTAGCGGATTATTCAGTCTTTGACAGTTAACTTTTATATCATCTACCATCCCGGGCTATTTAAAACAAGCAGTTTAGAAAAATAAGTTCACTATCTGCAATTCTAAACTCAAACTTTGTGTTTGTTTTCCTGAGGTATTCGCTTTACCTAACAAGCCACGCCAAGAGTGCACACGGACAACCAAAAGTGCAGAAAGACTGGAGGAGCAAACTGTCGAGAGGGCCTTGCCACGTACAACAAAGCCCCGGACAAACTGCAAAAGGCTTTTCTTGCTCATCAGCCTTAAAAATAAACTGGCTCCCACCCCATCCTCAAAATCGAAAGCTTAGGCCTTGTCTACATGAAAAAAGATTTGCTAAACAGATATAACCATACCAGCAAACCCTCCTAGTGTAGACGAAGGTTATGCTGGCAAAAGCTTATATCAATTTTCTGAATGACAAAACGTATGCTAGCAAAAGGACTTTTATGCCTGTATAACTGTGTCTACACTTGGGCTTTTGTTGGTATAAAAGTCATAAAAATAAAAATCACACGCCGAATAGACATCATTATACTTATAAAAGTTTTAAGTGTAGACCTGACCTAGCCTTACACCACTGCTCACTGGGCTTGGACGGATTTAGGCCTTGTCTATACTCAGTATTAGCCCCAGTTCAGCTATCACTGGTCCAGCAGTGCTGCAAACCCCAGTGTGAACAAGGAAAGTTGAATATTGAACCACTTCAATATGCTCCCATTTCAATCGGGGTAAGATCAAACCGCGTAAATTACAGCTTTACACGGCAGCTACACAGATTGCTGAATCCTGAATGCAGACAAAGCCTTCAGAGTATAGAATGGGAGGGTTGTGTATCAGATATAAGCGCAACAAAAGGACTGTTTTTGTTTTTGAAAAACTCTGTTGGCCTACTTTTGACTTTTGCAGGATCGGTTTTGATCCAGGTCTCAATTTATCCAAGGCCCATACAGTGTCATAGGGTTTGGATAAAGAGGTTCTACGGTTTTAGCCCATCTTTAGGTAAATAAGGTAACTGAGGGTATAAATAAAACATCTGCTGGAGAAGAAGTAGCTAATACTGGTTCAACTCAGCAACAACAAGGTGACAACAAAGAGAAGCTGCAAAGTTAAAGCTGTGAAGGTTTGTTTGTTTTGTTTTTCTTTTTCCTTAAAGTGACACACACAAAAAGAATGATCTTCATCGCAAAGATGCATCAAACAACCAGTTGCTATATACAAGCTGGTCAAAAGTGATTTGTTCAAACTCTTCTTTTCCCTTATGATATTATATTGATATTTAATAGGAAAATAAAATACATAGACTTTTTGTCATTTGTATGCATACATTTGCAAATTTTCTTACAAAAGAGGACCAAGCACATAAGTAGGCATTCACAAATTCAATGCCCTTTTTGTGTTAAAATTGGTATCATCTATACATTATCTTACAGTATTAACAATGTCTTTTTTTGTTTGTTTGTTCTACCCATTGGGTAGGATATGTGCATAATATATTCAAGTTATATACAGCACCTTACAAATAAAACTCAGAAGAAGAGACAGACAACTGAAGAAGCACCATTTTAAGTGAGGCACAACAAAGGTGGGAGCATAGGACTTGAGCCAAAGTCCACTGAAATCAATGGGAGTCTTTCCATTGACTTCAATGAGCTTCGGATCCGGCCCCTAGAGTGCAAGCGGATTCCTATCTGCTCAGACCTGAACATGAGGCCCCTTAGTTGCTTACAAACTACTAACATGCAAACCTCCTCAAAATTATATCTAATATATATGTATATATTTATTTATTAATACCCCTACCACAGCAGACAGACAAGCACAAACGGAGGAGAGAAAGGATGAAGAAAAAGACAGCTTTGTCACCCACGAGATCCAAACACATACCACGTGGTATCAGAAAACTCACATACCAAACCATTTAAAGCAGCAGCAGCAGCAATATAGCAAAGAAATGAGCCACAGTCATCCCTGGCAGTAAATCACATACAGGGCGGGTTTCTTTTTGTTTGTTTCTCTCTGTTTTAAACACAAAAAGGTAAAATATTTTAGCATTAAAGCAATACTAGCTTTGCTTGTATTTATTCTAAAGATGTAACACAGAATATGCCAAGGCAGAAGTACAGCCAGAAGGAGAGTTTTTGACATTTTCAGTACAAACCAAGCTCGACCTTCCCTGCTTTGCTTTGAGAGCAGAGAAATGTAGAATGAATGATTACAAATGAGGTGTTAGTGGCCTTTAAATGTATTAAAGCAAAATATTTGTGGCTGATTTACAAAGCATGAATCGGCTTCTAAATTTTGCATTGGTGCTATTTACTGTTTGGACAAAGCACTTCGTCTATACTGAGCCTTGCCTACATGTGGAAGGGTTTGCTGGTATAACTATACCTATATACTGGCAAATCCCCGGTGGTGGAGATGCAGCTTATATCGGCAAAAGATCTTTTACCAGTTCCCCGAATGGAGTACGCTAGACTAGCAAAAGGACTTTTGTGCCATTTGTTTAACTGCATTTACATTAGGGCTTTTGCTGACATACCTATGTTAGTCAAGGAGGTGCGGATCACATCCAGAGCCACATGGCTATGCCAGCAAAACTGCTAAGTGCAGACCAGGCCTGAGCCAACATTCGTAGGTGGGTCTTGGTCTGGATTTTAAAGTGGGACCCCATAACGAGAAGTGTAAATTGTAATTTAAAAAGGAAACATAGCAAGTAAAGATAAATTAAAATGAAACTCTGAAAGTTCAGCTGAAACGATGTAACTCAGACAAATCCCCACAAGGGTTTTTTACACGTGAAATGCTGCTATAAGGGCCTCTATAGATGTTAAACAATTCTATGACAGTACCTCCTTGGGAGTGAGGGTGGGGGTGGGGGGGAAACAAAAGTGACACATTTGGGGTTAGTTTCGGGGCATGTACACAACGGGAAAGGCCAACCATATTTCACAAGATTCTTATAACAGCCCTTAAATGAAACAAAAAACAAAAGTAACCTAAAGCAAAGCTTCCTCTGAACCAACTCTCAAACATGGGTCCCTTGTTAGTACCACCTAGGTTTATTAGAGACAATGTGCTTCTGTAGTTTTAAAAATCTGTTTCACTGCAGGACCTCAGTACAAGCGGTCTCCTGCAGGCCAGTTCCCAATATATGAGGACTGCTTTCAAATGCATCCTAATGAGGAGAGCTGTTGGATGGAAGATGCACCAGTGCCCCATGTCAGAGTTGGGAACCTGGGCAACTGGTTGAAGCAGGGTACCGTACATTATTCAAAGGGCGAGGGAAGAGAGCGGGTGCTCCTCACACTTTCAACCTTTTGAGTGGTTACCTGCCACTGCCCAGGTATGTAACAGAGCCATGTTCAACAGCAGGATTCAAAATAGTTTCCTATAGTATGAAAGGGACATTTTAAACTGGCTTATGACAGAAAATAAACCCACGCAGCATCCCTGGAAGATGGTTATAGAATAATAATTAATATCTGGATAACTAGAACAGATAGAGAGGTGTACACGTCTGTGTGGGCAAACACAAACAATGGTCACGTATGGCATGAGTCCAGGGTGGGGCAGCTATGAGAGTTTCTGGGAAAACCCCAAATATCCAAATCCCAATTAATCCTTTCAAACACACCAGCAGGTGTTTTGTTTATTCCTCCTGCTTACAAGTTTTTTAAGAACAATTTTAGTGTGTGTGTGTTTTGATTGGTACTGTATTTTTGTATTCCTTGCCTGTAAAGCCAGGTTGCCTTAGTTACCATGAGTGGCCTCCGAGTCAGAGAAATGTTAGTTATAAAACATTTTTAAAACCTTCAAACATTTCTTACAAATGAAGGTGTCAGTTTTAAGGTTCAATGACACACTCTCTGTCAGGGCTAGAAATGAATGCTTCCTACAGGAGAACAGGAGAATGTTCTTCACTGGACTAAAGCTTTTTTCCTAGTGAATTGTGCTATTCTTGCAGCAGTGTAATTTCAATTCCCGTTTTCACCCAAGCCACAATTATAGGAAAAAATGTAGTGGCAGGCTCTTCTTCATTTGAAGCTAGTAGTATTGCGATTTGGAACATCAGAAGTAGCTCCAACTGGGATGCATTAGTGGGCAGAATGAAAATGAGGACAAAGGTGCAAAATAAATGCAATTAATTGCACGGTTCCAATTAATTCCATGGTTGCAGAAACAAAAATAAAGGTAGTTATTCTGTTGATCATGACTGCATATATAGAATGTGTGCGTGTTTTCTCACATACAGAGAGTGAACAACAGTGTGGTAAAATGTTATCAGCATGAGTTTGGGTTAGATGCATTGCTCATGAGTGACAAAGCTATGAGTGGGGCGTACGGAAATCATCCCAAACTAATGATGACCAAACCTTCCTATCACATCATTGTATCATGTATTCTCTATATGCCATACACCTTACAGAAACGCTATCTTAAGAATACTTGAGAGAGCTTTTAACATTTTTACTGGGACTATTTTTCATCTCTCATTCATACCTTAAAGTCAGGTGCCTTACATACCAGGAGTCCAACTGCGCCGTGCTCAGAAGGAGCCAGGCAAACCTCTAAAAATAGGCTTGAGAGATTTTTCTGTAATTCCAGGGCTAGAAGTAAGTGATATGTATCCCACTGGGAAGTTTGTAATCCCCTCTTCCTGATAGCATAAAGCTCCCTTTCCTATCCCTGTGAGACCACCAGGCAACACACTCTGAAGATTAGACATTTTTCTGACTAGAAAAGCTGACACCAGTCCAACAGCTGAAACTTGTCCAGCCTGGGCCTTAGAACAGGGTAATTTTGGGGAGGAATTCTACTTTTGAGGTGGAGAGAAGAGGAGAGAATATCTATTTCTGAAAGATTAAATTTTTTAAAAGTAACAGCTGTTTGAAGTTGCTCAGAAATGTGGCGTGTTTCAGTAAATCTTGAGGAAGATAGGTTATTGGGCAGAGGGCAAGTGAGGCAGTCAGAGGATAAAAACCTGGATAAAAGCCTCTACATATGTGGTATATTTGTGTGTATTTTACATATAATATACATACATGGACACATACACAAACATGTACCATGTATGTGGAGTTTTACCCATGTGATAATCTGAAGAACATATAACAATTTAATAGTTTAAAAATGACATTTGGGTGGCTAGGACATCGTAGAATATGGTCCTGAGTCTTTTTACAGAGACTCCTCCAGAATTGCTGCATAGAATTTACCTCCCTTGAGAGAATGCCCATTTTTGAGCCTGAACAGACTGACAGTGACTTCTTGTTTGATATCATTTCTTCTTATTTTCTCTTTCGAAGTTCAGTTCTAACGGTGCTGGCGTGTTCTCTGTTCTCTATGACCAGAAAGAAAGAAAGAGCACTCCTTTGTAATATTGTTGGCAGAATCCACCTCAGAGATTACTAACATTCATTAAGATATAATCAGAATGAAGTCTAAAAATCTCTTTTTGCAGAGCTGAGATAATGTGTTACTTTCTCTGCAGTGTTTGTAACCCTAGTTCAAGGAAACCTAACAGACCATTGTGATAGGTGTTTTCTTCTGTATGTGCATGCATCACATCCATCAATGTTAATAGGAGTTACACCAACACACTGGGACACTAGGGTGGAAAGATAGTAAAGGGTTATCCTCAAAGAAGATACATTCCCAAGAGGTGGCTTTGAAGTCAGTAGATGTGGCTTTAATGAGATCTGCAGAGCAGTGGGACAGCTTGTATTCAAACTGGTCCAATGCCAAGGACTGCTCACCTGCCCTTCTCCTGGCCCAGTGGTTCCCTGACTGAATGACAATTGATTTCCATTTGTTCTCTGACCTAGATGCCTCAGGGCTGGATAATCCTGATCTAGGCAACAACTCACTTCTGCTCACCTCTACTAGCAACAAAGTCACTGAAGTGACTTAAATTGTGGATACTGCCTCAGGCCTAAACCTGCAGGTCATCTGTAAAATCCTAATTCCAAGATGTATTACTCCCAGAGACTATAAAAGGCAAGAGCTATAATCGACAGACAGCTAGTCAGTCATCCCATAAACATCTGTGCTGGGGGCATTAGTAAGGGAAACTGCTAAATCCAGTCTCCTACTTCTCCCTTCAAATATAGCTACATAAATAAAAAGGGTTCACTTTGCATTACCAGGGACAATTCAGATCAAGAAACAAGCAGATTCTGATCAGTTATAAATGGGGCTGTCTGTTCAGAATATAGTTATTCCAATATTCATCAAGCTAGAATAGTACAAAGTCACCTCACTAAGGAAGTTATCTATACAGAGACCCATAAAATGAACACACACATGCATACACACACGCTGTTTTGGCATTAAAACTCTGCATAGATCAAAGATTCACTTCAGTAATCAATGTTTCAATCAAGCCCTGTCGTATGTAGAAGTCACACAGAAATCCAACCTCCAGCAATCGGAACAGGTGCTGTACAGTACAGTACTTTTCTGCAGTGCATTTGATGCACTCGTTGGTTGCTGCTGTTAACAAAGCACTGGGCTTAAGACTGTAGAAAAAGTGAGACCTTACAGTGAAAACTCTACTACACATATATATTAGGAATATTAAAACTAAGACTCTAAAGATTCTTTTTTTCTTTTAAAGTCCATTTCCAAAATGCATTTTAAGTGCATATTGTGCTTTTTCTGTGTGCTCTTTAAGTCACTACCACCATTCTTCAATTGCCTTCCAATTCTTACATTAACTTCGGCAGAGAAGCTAACCATGGAAAGAAAGTAAAACCCTAGGCAACATTCGACAGGCAGACACATATCTTCCAACTACTTTAAGACGAGTATTACAAAAATAGGGCCAGATCCTACACTCCCACACGTGAGTAATCTTTACACATGTGCCTAGTCCCATTGGGCTCAATGGGATTACGTGCATGAGTAAGGGTTTGCAGGATCAGGCCCAGAGGAAAAGGCTAATGGCTTACAGTGAGATTAACCGGGGCTCCCAAGTCACTTCCAATGGCTTTCAAATGCTGCAGAAACCATTGCCAATATCACTAGCACTGTAAAAAGTATCAAATGTGTTGCAGAAACTGCATAGGAGGGGGTATGGTTACTGAGGTCCACTTGCTTAAACAGGATGGATCTCAGTAGAGAATTTAAATAGAAACTGGACAGTAAAATGCACAAGAAAGAGTCACTTATTTTAACTGCATTCTGGGGGGGACAGGACAGAACCACCTTGCATTTTTAAACAATTTATTGCATAACGTCAGGATATGTGACTAAATATATTTCAGGCTACACTGAAGACAAAATCTCTAAAACTTTAAGTATTAACGATACTGCATTGTGAAAAGGAAAAAAAAAATGACAGTGCTTTGTTAATAATTAATATAAATTAGCATGTTTTGCTTTAAATGAAACAAATGGCCTAAACTGTGTAATAGCTAAAACAACCTAAGTGATGTGAAATGCTGGAATTTCATGTTTGCTTACTTCCATCCAAAAGTCTCCAAGACACTTCATTGATGCACTGTTATTTTAATGCAAATTACTGCAAAGATAATAACATGTTAAGTGTCCCTGTATTTCCTGATTTATGTACGTCAATAGGTGTTAGGCTAAATTCAACAATCCCCTTTCAGTGACAAATACCAGGTGGGGCAAACTCCTCCAGATTACTTCTGGGGTCTAATCATTATTCCACAGGTTTTGAAAAGACAACATATAGAAGAACTTCACGTAAAACAGTTCCCTCATATATATATTTTTTAAAACATTAAGATAGTGCAACTTTTTAAAACACATTTTTCACAACACAAATTAACTCCTTGCATTCATCTAATTTCTCAACTTTACACCTTGGCACACAAAACAGGAATTTTGATTCATATAAAAAAAATTCCACGCCTTGGGAGAAAAAAGCAAACTGGCCGATTCTTCTCCCGTTTACCTAGCAAAACTTTCTTCTCATTTTCTTCTCTCTGCCATTCAGTTAATATAAAACAGGCTGTACAAGCCTAATTTCTGTGCTAAGTTTCCTTTTAGAATTAAATAATTCAAATAGTTTATTTAAAAAAAATAATATATATTTTCCCCCAAAACACTGCTCATGGCCAAACTGAATGGAAGTTTGTATTATCTCAATCCACTTTGCATGCAATTCCCCTGAAAGGAATCAGAAACAAAGAACTGGTTTGCACGTTTGGTTTTACTAAGTTGTACCACGTGTAACTTAACAACATTGTGCACAGGAATGTGGGGATTTTCCTCCACATTCCTGTTTGATTCTCTTGTCTTCAGTTCAAGTGCACCTGGGAAAGTAACTTAGACAAGGTTTCCTGGTTTCCTGTCTTTGCCTTTAATAGGGACTATTGTGCTCTCTGAATTGTTCTGCTGAAACTGAAGTCTGCTCCCCCTCTGTGATGAAGGAGGTGCATTGCTGTGCTGGTGATGGAAAAAAGAGGAGCCTGGGTAATTACCCATGACCTCACTGTATGTTGGGGGTGGTCCTTCCATCCTTCCATTACTGCTATAGTTGGTTGCACTTATGCCCGAATTGCTGCTTGGTGGGCATGGGCCCCCGTTGTACATTGAAATGTCTATCAAGTCACTGTCAAAAATGGTTCTGTTGGGTGGTGCCCTGACAGACTCTCGATTGAGTTCCATCTGCTGTTCTGGGTCCCGGAGCTGCAGTGTGCATGGCCCTTGGTATGGTGGTGGCTCTTCTCCATCAGAGAGGGAGATGGTCGGAGGAAGGTCAATCTCGTGCTGCATGTAAGGGTAGGTTGGCTGGAAGCGACTGAAACGGTCCCGCTGCATGAATGATGGAGCGGTAAACCTGTCCCTGGACCTTGGGGCATACATGATCTGAAAAGGTAAGAGGGAGCTGTGAATCCACTTCCAAGCATCACCCAGCAAAACATTATGAGTATTAATTATTTATCAAGGGCCAACAAAGAGAAAATGGTCCCTGCCTCAGGGAGCTAACATGCTAGCTCAGACACAGATTAAACAAGTCAGATGCACACACAGTCACACGCAGCTCATGGAGACATTCCCAAGATAGCTTTAATCTAGCTAGTTTGGGCACCAGAGCAACGAAGCTTCAGCAGCACTTGCTTCAGCACAGGCCCATGATAATTACTTGCACGGCTAGCCTGTGCTGAAGCTCATACTGCTGCAGTTTCACTATTCTGGTACCTGAGATAGCTAGACCAAAGCTAGCTCGGAGATGTCTACACAAGCTGCAATCACACCCTATGATTGCAGTGTGGAGACACACGCCCATCAGTGGTGGTGTGAGTTGGAGGTGCGGTAAAAATCCAGAAGAAGAAATTTGTGAATGGCTTTAAAAATGAAGTGTGTTCCCTAAAGGGTATTAATCCCCCACCTCTTTGTCAAGTTATAAAAATGTTCACGGGGGGGGGGGGGGGGGGGGGGGATGGATTCTACTTCTTTAAACATAAAACATTCCAGAAAAGTTATTTGTGTTTCCACCCCTGAAATAAATTAGTTGTGAACCTAAGAAAATATCCCAACATTGATTTTTGGCAATGAGAACCTTTCTTCCTACACAGATTAAAATCTTGCTTTGTAGGGGAATCCAGATGGTCATTTTAACTGAATTGAAAAAGGTCCAAGACATTCCACCATGAGAAAATGTCATCTGTTTCCTTCTACTCAACGCTTATCCAGGGCCCCAATCCCTTGCTCCGATGCAGAATCCTATTGATTTCATAGAGATCTTGTGTGAACTTACAATTTAAAGACAATGATTCACATTGTCTAGTCAACAGCACTTGTGGGGCCCCAGGACCTCTCAGGCCTAAAGTTATTAAATTATTGTTTTACTCTTTTGATCTATATTAAAAAGACTTAATTAACTAACTTGTAGGCAAGCCAACCAAACAATGGTTTTTGAGGGAGGGGAAATATATGTTAGAAGCAGTAAAGCAAATCATTGAAGGTTACCAAGAAATTAAGCATTACCTCTGAAGCACCTTGTCGTGACACTGATCTGTCTGAAGGCCACAAGCACCCTTCCTAGCAGGAGAAAGAAAACAGAAGAATATTAACTTCTTGCATAATTTTTATTTCAACATAAAAGAACTTTTCAGAACAATCAACTTGTACCAGTTGGTTACATTCATCAAAAGAAGCATTATTAAAAAGTAATAAGTAATAAAAGTAAAAGTATCACTTCTTCTACCGTGAAAACTGAACTCAGAACTAAGCCAAAAACACAGAAAGCAAACGTAAGTGCTACATTCAAGTTAACCCATCTTTAACATTTGCTTTTTTTCATTTAGTACAAGCTTGCACATTCACCTGTTTTCCTTGAATTTCACATGACTTTCCTTACCTTTCTTGCAATACTATGGCCTACTGCACAAGACTCAAATGGTCCCCAACAGAATCTAACGTTCATGATCTCATTGGTTAGTCTCTCTCTCGCTCCACGTACACTCTTCCCCCGTGAAATAATAATTCTGAACCCAGGATCTCTTTGGCCAACCCAAGAGTATAGTGTACAGTTATGACCATTCAGGGTAAGCAAGGTTTCACCCACCAATTTCCATTCCTCAATCCCTTTCCCCAACTATCTCCCTGCTAAGGATTTTCTTTTGTATGCCACTAATGTGTTTTTGACACTTTAGAACATTAAGGGCAGAATAATGCACGAACAAAAAATAAGAAAATGTCAATAAGGGAAAAGTGCTTAAGGTATATTGTTATTTCATTACATTTTTCTTTTCAGAGCAGCAATAACTACCTTAATGGCTTTATTTTACTTGAAAATATCACAGCTTAAAGGAATACAGCTTTAAGATAAATCCAAAAGGGACAAGAGAAGCTGTAAAGCACAGAAATGCAATCGAAATGTGGCAAAATAAAAATGTTATTTCTAAGAAGTAATTGGCTTTGCTGAAGCATCTCAGTCATGATAACTTTCTTGGAACTAAGTCAAGTTCTGTCATTATACAAATATAAGAAACGCCAGTAAAAGGAAAAAGCCATTTGTCCCTTTTGGGTTTATTGTAAATTTCACCTTCCTGCTTTTTCACCATGCCCCTCAATCCTCCTCTATGTAGAAAGCCTGGGAGCTCATTCATTTACATACTCTCTTCTTCAGTTCCATTCCCTGGTACCTTACGGCATGTTTATTCACTTTGCAGCAACTGTTCTGCCTCAGTTTTCCATTGCTCATTTTTAGCCTTTTCCAATGTGAGAAATGTGTACCTGCTTTCCTAATCCCTACAAGAAAGAAAGAAAGAAAGAAAGAAAGAAAGAAAGAAAGAGCACTGGCACATAGTTTGAATAGCGAGGGGGAACTGTGTCAGGGAGGAAGGGGTAAGACAAGGATAGTCTCCTGGGCTTGCACACAGCACTGAGTCAGGTTCCTTCTACATCCAGGGCTGAATAAGGGCTTATCTACATGGGAAGTTATACCAGTATAAGGTAAGGTATGAATTTACACTGGTATAACTATAGTGATTTAACTCCCTGGATGGACATTCTTATTGTAGAATAAGAGTGGCTTTTTCCAGTTTAGTATCAGAGGGGTAGCCGTGTTAGTCTGGATCTGTAAAAAGCAACAGAGAGTCCTGTGGCACCTTTAAGACTAACAGATGTATTGGAGCATAAGCTTTCGTGGGTGAATACCCACTTGCATCTGACGAAGTGGGCATTCACCCACGAAAACTTATGCTCCAATACATCTGTTAGTCTTAAAGGTGCCACAGGACTCTCTGTTGCTTTTTCCAGTTTAGCGTATATCGTTTTGCAAGCATTTTAAACCAAATTGGAAAAGTCCACTCTTATCCAGAATAAGAGTGTTCATGCAGTGCAGAGAATTATACTAATATAACTTGTAGCAATTTACCTATACCAATATAATTATTCTGATACGACTTTCCCATGTAGACAAGGCATAAAGTTAATCACATGGAAGGGGATGCAGGGAGAAAGTGAGTAGGATGTTAGTAAATTTCTGCTGCAATCAGCAGCTACTCCATGTGTAAGAACCTCCTGAAGAAGCAGAAAGAGATATGCTGCCCCACAAGAACAATTAGAAACAAATTTCATGACGCTGAAAAAATAAAATGCAAAAAAGGAGGGAAGGTGCCAAAATGGGAAAAGGGGAAGAGAAAAAAGTGAAAAACATAGAAACGAGAATGGGGGAGGGGAGGGAAAAGACAAGAGAGAAATAAATGCATGTGTACCGTCTTCTTTATAATTTTCTTTTATTAGATTTTATATATTAAATGGATATTGTAAGGTTTTGCAAACAAAAATCTTTTGTATTTAATATCAAGCACTAAATGTTTCTCACCTCTCTTATTAAGTACATTTCAGTTTGTTAGGTTCTTGCTCTTACCTATACCTATCCTAGCTCATAGAACTGGAAGGGACCTTGAAAGGTCATCGAGTCCAGCCCCCTGCCTTCACTAGCAGGACCAAGTACTGATTTTTGCCCCAGATCCCTAAGTGGCCCCCTCAAGGATTGAACTCACAACCCTGGGTTTAGCAGGCCAATGCTTACAGTTTTGTATTTCACAAAGAGATTTATCAGGCAGGTGACTTTTCAAGGCCATTTTTACATATTTTGTTTCCTGATGCCTCCAAAGTCACCCAGCTTCCTCAGTTTACAGTCAACACATCAACAAATTGGGGGGGGGGGGGGGGAAAGGAATTTGTTGGAAGAGGTGCAATGGCTTCAATATTTTTTAATTAAACCAAGGTAAATTAGAAGCACAAAATTATGATTAATAAAAATTCAGAGACTACAATGAGGCAAAAACATCTGACTGGCTCCACATTTCAAAAAGGAATATTTCTAGTGAGACTGAAGAAAGACTCCCTTTCAACTGATGGACATTCTCAACCAACTGCATCAAATCCTCTGTTGCTTTGGGAACTTCTGAATGATTTTTGTTTCTGTTTTATTGGTGGGGGTTTTGCTAGTTTGCCATTTATCGCGGGGACTGCAGAAATTCTATATTTACTCTGGGTTTGCTTCGATATCATTTAAATAGATTATCCCCCTATCCCACCCCTCACTTTTACGTTTCAGGGCTGATCTGTCTGAGAGACTCTCTTTTTGTCATGCACTATGGGTGTTTACAATATTACGCAGCAAGTCTGGCAGACAACCAGAACGAGAACCCTGATCTCAGTTCAGTACTGTACTTTCTCATGGCTTATCGTCACTATCCTTGGATGCAGGACCGGCGCAACCCATTAAGCGTCCTAGGCGGTCGCCTAGGGCGCTAACATTTGGGGGGCGGCGACCGCAGCGGCCAGATCTTCGGCCGCCCCAGTCATCGTCGGTATTTCGGGGGCGGGACCTTCTGCCGCCTCTGTCAGGGCAGTATTTCGGGGGTGGGACCTTCCGCCGCCTAGGGCGGCAAAAAAGCTGGCGGCGCTCCTGTTTGGATGCCAGTGAAAGTTTGGTTCATCGGGTATAACCAACATTAAGGCTATTCCCTTCAATGCACATGACATGAGGGCACTGGGATGGACTTGCCTCCATTACCAAAGAGCGTGGGAGAGAGAAATAGGAGTGTAAATTAGGAGAAGAAACCCAAGCAAAAAGGCCTAAGGCTGGAAACTCCACCATTACCCCAAAGTCTAGAGCAATGTTTCCAGTAGAATATATTTTGAAAATGTTATGTTACCATGCTTACAGTAGACAGGCATATCATACATACAGACAATAGTGACCGCTGAGAAGTCAAAGCCCTCCTTTCTTTCTGAAATTAAGGCTACGTCTACACTGTGCACCTTACAACGGCGTGGCTGTGCCGCTGCAGCTGCACCATTGTATGGTGCGCTGTGTGGCTGCTCTTTGACACCAGGAGAGAGCTCTCCCGGTGACAAAATAAAACCACCCCAACGAGCGGCAGTAGCTTCGGGGACAGGAAGCTGCTGAAGCGCTGTCCACACCGGCACTTTTCGTCATTAAAACTTTTGTCATTCAGGGGTGTGTTTTTCACACCCCTGAACGACCAAAGTTTTAACAACGGAAGTGCAGTTTAGAGATGGCCTAAGATTACTATTCCTTCCTCCCACCCAAACTGTGCAGCCACACTTTTTGCAGATGAAATTTTTCTGAGTGTAGTTTTTAATTTTGACCCTAGGTGGCAGTAATAGGTTGGAGTTAGAGCCTCAGTTTTCTGACTGGTTTTAGGAATAGCCAACACACACTAGTTCTCTCCACAATCTATTTCTTCTTTGGAGGCACAGACTGTCATATTTCTTAATGATCGCCAACACTTCCCCTTTAGAACATAAGCAAAGCAAAACTGTTGTATGCCCCAATAGAACAAGCAAACATTACAGCAAGATTTCTCTCTCCCTTAGAAATCCTATTTCCTAAGTGAAAGCACAGTGATGGTGTTCTGCACAAGGCTGTGCAATGACAAAGAGACAGGGTACTGGGATGGTAAGGGGGAAATTAATCAGGGAAAGAACTGCATTTATACTTGTCTTCTGACTAGCTATAGCTAGCAGAAATAATGACTATGAATACACAAAGCTTTTACATCCTTGGACTTCACTGTACATTATTGTACAAGCATTCGCTAACCTTCAAGTCGTCCCTTAAGGTGAGTGAATATTATTATCCTCACTTTGCATTTGAAGAATAAGAAATGACTTCCTCAAGGCCCCTCATCAAATCAGTGGCAGATTAGAATCCAGGAGTTCCTTGCTGCTTGTCCCTGGACTATACTGCCCCCATTAAAGGAGATGTGGTGCCTTTATTAGGTAGGCTTCAAACAATAATGGCCAGAACACTCCAATAAATGAATAACTTTTGAAACAAAATGTTGTGGTTTTATGTTTACTCCTATCACAAAATCACCAAACAATTTCTCATAACTGGCTAACTCTGCTTAGCAACTCATGGGCTAGAGGCCTCTTTCGGACATTGGGACCGGAAGAGGTGGCATACAAGACCCAATTCCTCCCACCTTATGGATGAGGGAGAAAGGAAACTCAGCCCAATTCAAATTAGAGTCCCTTCTTGGAGTACATCTTGA